TTCTGGGAGTTGAAGTCCACCCGTCTTAACGTTGCCAAGGTTGAGGAACCCTGTGTTAAGGTGAATATAGCACAGTCAATGGGATTCCCCTTGATCTGAACCAGGGCAGTTGCAAGGAGAGAAACCGAAGCCCTTCTTCCCCCCAAACAGGGTTTTATTTGGAATTCCTTTTCCCTGTGTGGGGCTGAGACAAAAATTAATAAGCACGCCAGAGCCAAGCACGTAATGATTTAAGGGTTCGTGCATCGTAATCCTTAGTAGATGGGGCCACTTGGGGAATGTAAGCACAGCAAAAGGTGCATTTTCGGCCCGAAACGCAGCCCTCCCTCCCCCCCCGCAACATTATTCTCCATGGCCTTGTCCACCTCGGTCAGTGCAATTTCATTCTAAGCCAGACAGAGCCACAGCTCACCGGCTATAAATAGTTTGGGGCCTTTCGAAGACCCCCTTCCAGCTGCTGCAGTGGGGCTTGGCTTTCCCTTGTGGGAAAGCCCTCCCCAGGGAGAATGTCAAGGCTCTGATTTGCCGGCCACTGTAAAACACACACTTTTACAATGCTGTAAAACAAGAAAGTAATCTCTGAGCGTACAAGTTGTGTTTGAGAACAAGCCCAGCTCCGAAGACAGACAAAAGGTGTTAATTCATTTTGCCCTTCAAACTGTCGAGATAGCAACTTGCCCACCCACCATTCTTTCCTTCCCCCCCCCACCCGCTCCAAGGTTGGAGGGTTATTCCTGGGCCACTTTGAGGCTCATTAATCAGCACAGACCTGCCTTCTTCAAGGGGAAAAATTAATGCCTAACTAGAACAACCTTCGTAGCAAAATTCTCACCTGGGTTAGTAAATACTTGGCTCCTGCCACTTGCTTCCTCAGTTTACTCGACTTACTGAATTCAAAGCAGCTGTCTTCTTGGGCCGATGGCTTATTTAGCAAACCATGGTTAAGTAGGCCACCGGATGAGTAAACCCAGACACTACGTCTCCGCTGAATTGAAGAATTGCATTTCATGTCTTCTGTCCAGAACAATCTGACTGGGTTGGGTGATGGCTATCATGGCCATTCACCAAAACCATCCCCCCCCCCCCAAATTCTTCCGGCACCATTTGGCACCTCTGTGGTTCATCCATAATCAGCCTCCGTAGCCTTCAAGGATATCAACTTGGGTTTTTCTTGTTGCTTTGCTTTGGGCAAGAGTTCAGATGAAATAATTTGGTCCTGTGAGGTTCTCTAGGATGATTTTGCCTGGTTCCAAGGCTAGGAGTCGTTTGTGCTAGCTAAGAATTCTGGGAGCTGAAGTCCACACATTTGGAAGGTGCCCAGGTTGGGGAAGATGGACATCCCCTGTCTTTCCCCGGTGCCCTTGAGAAATTTTGGACTCCTCCCATAATCTGGGAGAGCAGTAGGGTTGTGCCCTCGAGCCATGTGGTGTTGGTTCCCAAACTCCTGCTTTTTGGCCCACCTTTTTTCTAATTGTTGCCTTCCAGGACATGGAGGACGTATCCCAAATGGACTGTGTCCTTGAATAAAGATGGGCCGATGATGCTGGGGGGGCGGGGGGCTTTAAAGGCAAAACAACCGCACTTTTAGCTTTTGTTTCCTGAAAGAAACCTCCGCAGACCTCAGTTTTGCTGCAGCAATGGGGTGGCGTAGGTTGGGGTTGTAGGATGCTCCGCCAGCCTCCGGCCGTTCTGTAAATCCAGGGCCTTCCCAGCCGGCCAGCAGTTTATCTGCAAGAAGGAGAATTCCCGGCCAGCGACAACTGGCGGTGAACCAGAACCTCAGGGTCTGCCCTTTGAATTCAGGACGGTTATTTTCAGAGCCAGCGTGATCCTAAGGCTTTTCTTCAGGTAAGCTTCCAAAGAGGAAACCGATCCGGCCCTTGGATTCAAAGGTCAGGAAGGCAGGGGGTGGCCGGGGGAGAGGAAGTGAGCTTTCAGAATGATTAAGTGAATTCGAAGTTAACACGTCCCGCCATCCGCAGGTTTGTCATACAGGCGAAAGCAAAAGAACGCAGGAGAAAATCGCAGACAGGAAGTGCCGGCCACGGGAACGGGCAGACCCGCCTGTGCTAATACTGGACGAGGGACACGTTATGGGTGGGTTGTGGGTCGGGGGGCACCTGGCAGACAAAAGCCTTGTTCTGAGGGTCTGTTTCGCTTCTGCTCCTGTAGAGGCCCTTGTTTCTGCTGCCAGGTCCATCCCGAGAGCCCATGGCTACGTTCGGAAGGAGCGTTCTGGTGGATAGATTTTAAAAGCTCCCCCCCATCTGTTCCTCCCCTCTCCCCAAAACATTTGGAGTCAGACTTTGTTTGTCCTGGAGCCCTTTGAAGATTTCAAAAATTTGAATTCCAACATACACCAGACTGTCTTAACAAGGTTTAAATTCAAACTGGGCCAAAGACTTTCTCCCCGGTGCGCCTCTTTGCTCCGGCTTTGGAGTCGAAACACTGGCTCCTTTGAGGGTTTCAGCACAGAGGCCTGTGTTATTGAAACGTATTTGCTGGACACAAGTCTCGGGAAGACACCCAGTCCTCTGGATGAAACCGCCACCGACTTTTTCGCCCACGCAAGGAAGGGGTGGGCTTGGTGTGGCAGTTCCAGCCTTTGGGGATTCCAACGCTATGAACCGCCATTCATTCCTCACCTTATTCCTCCCCTCTCCCCAATTTCGAGTGATATTAAATCATAAAATAATTACATGCAGGATGGGTGGGAGGAGGTAATCTTGCAAAGAACCTCTTTGGGACCGCGCCAGCTGTTTTATGTTATAGACATCTGTCCCCCATTAGATGTTTCTTAGGTTATTACACTGCGATATTAAATATTTCTTGTTGAGCTTTCTTCACATCTCGGAGGACCCCTTCCTGAACACAATCCTTGCAGTGCATTCTGACCGCAGAGCTGGGGCCGCTGTAGGTCCCTCACCCTTTCATCTCTCTTCTCTTGGGTCGCCTTTTCCAGGTCTGGTGTGGAATATTCCCACATCCAACACTTGCATTGCTCTGAATCTGTCTGCCTGTTGTTGGTTGATTTTTCCTGTGGGTCCTCCAAGGCCATTATCTCCCACCTGGCCGTCTCTGTGATAGGTGGGGCCACAGTGAACACCTGGAAGATGACTGAAGTTCTGAAGTTGGACACTTCTGTGTTAAGACTCAGCAGCTGTGTTCTACAACACGCATAGAGTCAAACCTTTTTCTGGGTTTGCATGATATACTGAACCACAAACAGACCATATGACCTGGGTTCACATAGCACAAAAAGGTAACCAAGTTTAAAACGAACCCAACTTCACCTATGGTGGGAACGCTGACTTGGTAATGAACACGCCCTCTAAGTATCCACATAAGGGCTGTTTTCACTGTTTTGATGCTTATTTTGAGGTATACCAACTTGGACCAAGCTTATTTCTAGATCTGACATAGGAATATATGTAAGAAATATAGTAATAAATGGATTTATTGGCTTGGTTTTTTCTGTATCTCATTTCAGAAAATGATTCAAAATATTATTCCTTCTTGGGTAACTCTTAAATCTTTTGCATATTATACTATTTCTAGTCCAAGAATAGAGTATCTTCTGCATTTTGTAGGCAGTATTTCTGCCATAGCATCTGCAGGAGGGACAAAAAGTCAAGGTGGTGACTACCATCCTGTGGTCAAAGCCCCTGTCCCTTTATTACATGTGTCATATGTGCAATGCATGTAAAAATGGGATGGGGCTTCAATCATACAATTATGACTACCATCTTGACTTATTGACCCACCCCATGGACTCCGCTGATTCCTACCGAACTTGGTGGAACTTACTCCAGAGTGGTACCATAGAGGTTGTCCCATTCCTTGCAGTAAGTTTCTTTCTCTTCCTCCAGAATTTTTCAGAGAGCTCCTGGAGAACGCCGAGAAATCCTTGAACGACATGTTTGTACGGACTTACGGCCTCCTGTACATGCAGAACTCCGAGATGTTTAAGGACCTCTTTGTGGAGCTGAAGCGATATTACGCGGGTGGCAGGGTCAACCTGGAGGAGATGCTCAATGACTTTTGGGCCCGGCTTCTAGAACGCATGTTCCGCCTGGTCAACCCCCAGTACTACTTTTCGGACGAGTACCTGGAGTGTGTCAGCAAGTACACGGAGCAGCTGAAACCATTTGGGGACGTCCCACGAAAGCTGAAGCTGCAGGTGACCCGGGCTTTTGTGGCAGCTCGCACTTTCGCCCAAGGCCTGGCCGTGGCGAGGGATGTCGTGGCCAAAGTATCTGCGGTGAGTGGGTGCTCTTGCTTTAGCCCAAGGGAGGGCAAAAGAGGAATAGGACAATATCAGAAAGCGTGCGATGCGAGAGAGAGGAGGAGGATCCATCCACTGGGCCCTCCCAAGGCTGCCCCACCTACCAAAAAACTGCTATCTTCATGGAGGACCCCCTGAGAAGGTTGAGACCAGCAGACAAAGGTTGCCTGCTTTTACCTGCTCTAAACAAGGCAGTGCGTTTACTTGATTTTAATAGACCCAGTTTCATTTTTTTCAGTTTATCAAAGCAGAACCTCTGTTTTCCTTCCCTTAAAAGTGTGGGGAAAGAGAAAAGTGGTGAAGAAGAGGAAGAGTCCTGGGTGAATTTCTGCTTTAATGTCTTCTGTGAGCCAGGTTCTTGCAAATCTTCCTCTGCCCTTCAGGAACGCTCTTGCCTTTGAATTCGGCCTGATGGATTGCAAGAGGCAGATTAGCCAGACGCAGACATTTCAGTCTTGGCAAAGTCCGCACTGCAAGTTTGGGGGACTGCTTTGCTGTCAATTCCCACCCTCCTCCCTGCTTTCCATCCATGGGAATTTATAGATAATTTTTTTGTGCCCTTTTGGAATTTTTTGACTATGAGAACTTTCCCTTCGACATGTTCTCTCATTTCCCCTTGGAAACGGTAAACATTGGGGTGGAGAATTGGGGTATTACTGAACCCCTGACAGGCATTAAAATCAACAGCTTTAAATTGCTGGCCAACACGGATATTTCCTGCCCAAACCTTGGGGGCATTTTATTATATATATTTAGAAGAGAAAAGGCGGGGGGGAAATATGTAAGCCAGACCTTGCAGTGACTCATGGAAGAGAGAAACCCGATATTTTGCAATTCATAGACTACAGAAATTTCTCTGTAATGAAGACCATATGGCTGAATGTCATTCAAATTAGGGTTGAGCCAAAAAAGGAAAGGGGGGAGTTTTGGCGTGAATGGATTCTGGCAGCAGCACGAGTCCACGCCCCGTTCAGTGATCAATCCGTGATTGTTTTGAAAGGGGTCAGAAATGTTCACTGATAGGGCAGGTGTGCTGGGTGACATGGTCGCCGTGGCAAATGTGAGGGGCTACCTAATGCCGTAATGTCCTAATCACAGCATGATATCAGAGAGCAGCTACCTAAATAATTGAAAGGGCCCCCAGAATGTTGCCCAGTTCAATTTACGTTCGTTTTATGAAGTTGCCACACCTGCTCCCAGCCAATCTGCTCGATGATCCCTGATTGGCTGGGATCCCCCAGGTGATCAAATGAGAGAGAAAAGGCCGTAGAAATGAAAGCCACGTGGATTTCTGGGCCCGTCGCCTGCCGGAGGCTAAATCTGGTAATCCCTGCCTCTCCACCAAGCAGCGCTGTGGGAAAGTTTCTCAGAAACAGGCTCTGCACTTTGAACTGTGGAATTCACCTTTGACTTTGCTCTTGAACATCATGCGTTTGGCTCATACAGAATCATCCAACCAAAGACAGGTTTGAAAAGATGTTTTAAGCAACCCCCCCCCCAGCCAAATGGAAACGCTTGGCGTGTGCTGCAGACCTGGGGGGTTGCTTTTTCTTTTTTTAAAGCGGTGCACTTTCTGGGATTTCGCTACTGTTGGGCCTTGCCAGTTACAAGCATTGTAATCCATGCCTTTAGCACAGCCGGTAGAGAAGGAAGCATCCAGAAAGCACGGGGAAAGAGGGCCCCAGGAGCAGACCCAGAACCTGGGGCCTTTTCACCACGGGTCGGCGCGCAGCGCATTTACCAAAAGGCAAACTGTCCTTCCCGCCTCCTCGTTCTGGGCAGGCGGGCATCTTGGCAAGCAAAGACCTGGGCTTTTGTTTTAAAAAGCGCCTGAAGGGTGGGATTACGCCTGGACTTGGCACTTCCTGGGTGCGGCGTTTCCACTTCCCTCCCTTTTCTTAATTAAAAGAATCTTTAAATCAAACGGGGCAAGGAATCTGTCGGGCGCCAGAGAAAGAGAGCTCCAGAAATAAATAAGCATCCAGAGATAAAGAGCTTGGGCGCACGTGTTCTGTCTCTGGAGCTTGGCATTCAGACAAGCCTGCCATCGGCAGACACATAGAGATAAACCACATTTACACACCATGATAAAAAACCTAAGGGGGGATGAAAAAGACTGGGACGCATCCCCTCCGGCAGCCAGCGCGCAGAGAAGCAGGGATCGGCACCAGACAAGCAGGCAGAAGAAGATGCTCTAATCGAGGAACCCCCAAGGAGGAAACCCCACCCCACCGGCACTGGCAGGGCAAGCCACTGTCGACAAACAGGGAGCAAACCCCACCCTCCCGGGCACCGATGATGTTACCTAGTCGGGTAATGAAACGCCTGCAAGCCAACCCCCGAGCTCGGAGAGCACCAAGGACTCCACCGGGCTTACGGCATTCGCACGCAGCTCCCGGAGAAGGTCAGAGAAGGCTGTTCCTTCTCTGAATCTCCACCCAAGATCAGTCCGAAAAGTTCAGACCCCTTACTGCTTATACGGTGGGCCCGTTTGCAGGTGGAGGGCTCCGGTCGTGGCCCTGCCCCCTTTACTGGCTTGGGGAACACGCTCCATCCTTTTGCTTTCTCTGTCCTTTCCCAACACGAAAAGCTGCCTGTTTCATGCTACGGAACCAGAAGAAGAATTCTGGGATCCTCCCCCACGCCACCCCCCCTCAAGTTTGCATTTGTGATTGTCCAGTTTCTGCCATCTTTTTTTGTTCTTTGTTTTATTATTATTCTGTGCGCTTTTTTGGTGAACTGCCCAGAGTCACTGGGCATTGGGCAGTAAAAAAACAAAATTAATCATCAACCTCATCATCTTGGAGAAATTAACGGAATGCAATCCGCAGGTTTCTCACCTTGCCGCCTACAATCTTGAGAGCTAGAAACTGGAGCTCTTGGTGCAAACTGCCCCAAATTTAAAATAGCATTAAAATAACCTATGAATGTGTTGTTGGCATCAGTTTCTGTCTTTCTGCTGCATGGTCGGAATAATTGTTCCTAGAGTCCTTAACATGGACTAGCGTCTTAAAATAGGTCACATCCATCTGTGATCCCATTCTGCAGGCCGGCAGCTAAAGAGGGTGCGTGATGCTGGCAACTCAAGCTGGAGATACGTTGACTGTGGTGTGTTCAAATACCGATGTAATATCGCATCTCCAGATTTTGAAGTCAGAATGGGAGGAGGTGTCTTGACTTGGGTTGTTGATAATGGGACTAAGAACCATGGTTAGTTTCCGGAGTAGAATGTAGGGAAGTTCTAACTCCATCAGCCAGGAAGGATCATCTGTCCTCTGGTGTCTCCTCCTTTTCCTTCCCCATCTTTTTTTTTAGGTTGTAATCAGAAGTGGGCAGGATTGGCATCCAAAGTGGGCAAAGGTGGTTTGGATACAGCACAGACACCTTCACTGTACCTGTCAGCAGCTCCAGGAGTCACTGACAGCTATGGGAGGTGTCCATGCCTGCCCTTGCTTCTAGTTGTAGTCCTGCACGTGGGGGTTATGTTATCCCCATAGCCTTAGAGCAGGGTTTCGCAACCTTGATCACTTTAAGAAGTGAGGACTTCAACTCCCAGAGCTCTCCAGCCAGCCTTGCTGGTTGGGGAATTCTGG